TAAACCCTAAACCATGAACCCTTAACACTAAAGCTTCATCCCCAAGTCCCACTCTGGCCTTCCACATCCGGTTCTCCGGCCTCGGCATGCTCATCGTTCAAGGCTTACCCTAAGTTAAGGGTCTAGGGTTTTGGGTTTAGGGTTTAGGGCGGATCTACTGCTTCTTGTTACCGTATTTTAGACGGGTTTAAGGAGGTAGTTAAATGGAAATGCTTGTGGCGTAAAGAGGTTTCTATTCGGCTACCTTAGGGGCGCACTGTATTTACTGTCTAGATACATGGGCCCTTCAGGCATTAGGGACGTGGGGACGGCCGCTTGCTTAAATCTGGGAAAGGTTCTAGGGTCTAGGGGTTTAGGGTTAGTTTTTGTCGGTACACTTCTCGATTTGTGCGTGTCATCCTTGCGCAGGGGCCATGCTAATCGGCTCTGTATCAACCCAAGTTTATCGGATGATCCCCGACGGGCATGGGGTTCGGGGTTTAGGGTTAACTTAAACTGACGGGATTGAGGTCTACCTTCAAGCATTGAGGGCTCTTATGAACAGGGCGTACCTAGACCCTACATTATGTAGTACCGGTTTAGTTGCCACGGTTTCTTACGATAGGACCTGAAACACAGACTGGGTCATGGAAACCAGGTTTACATTCGAGAAGCTAGGTGCACTACCCCTTGCAGTCCCCATATAGCCATACTAGAGCTTGTCCGGAAGCCCCACCCAAGGTCCCTATAAACCACTAAACCCTAAACCCCTAAACCCCAAACCCCTAAACCCCTCAACCCCTAAACCCTAAACTCCTAAACACAAAACCTTAGATCCCTAAACGCTTGCTCGGATCCGCGCGTATTCTTGGAGCAGTAGGTGCCCACAGACCTGGCGGAGAACCCCTCTTCTCATGTAGGGGCCTTATAATAATTAGGATAGGGTTTTGGGCTCCTTTATGGTACAGTTCTAATAAGGGACTTTAAGGAATAATATGGGAAACTATTTATTAGGCTTCTATAACTTCTATACTGTAGAGTTCAAGAATGGGTTTAGGGTCAGGCGTTTCGGCTTATAGGAGCTTTGGGATTCGTGCTTAGGGTTTAGAGGTTACGGACTATGGAAGGGTCTGGCTGTTTAGGCTTGAGCTGTAGAGGCCTGGCGACAAGTGGCTTGCTTGCTTCTTGAAGCTCCTCCCTCCCGCAGCTTCATTTATGTGCGAGACCTGGGCGATCTCTGAGTCCTGACTTTGGGGTTTCTGGGATTCGGATGAAGGGCTCCCGGGATCAGAGCTGCGAGTCCCTTCTTCCCACGGAGTGAAGTTCAGGTAGTACATTGCTCTGCTTTGTCCAGGCTTCTGTGATGCTTGAGATTGTTGCAAGGAGAAACCCCGTCCAATATCCCAGAACTTATAGGCATATACCCTTCAGCTGTAGTAGGATCCCTAAAATGACTTACTTGACCCGGGTACCATGGTGCGAGAGTCACACTCGAAAACTGAGACTCACGTCAATGTGAACTATGTCAAACTCATGCATCTCCTGTGGGGAGGCCCTGCCTGAACCCCGAATAAGATGAAATCTACTCGTTTTAAAGACATTTTTATAGGAGGAAATGTCAGAAGAAGGAACCCGAAAATGTAGGTTCTCTAGGGCTCGGTTATTGATGCCCACCGGCCGCAGCTTATGGCAGTCGCTGCGACAGGTCACCGCCGAAAAGGCTATACCAAAAGATACTCGCAATCGAGTCGAGTCGGAGCCAGCTTTGTGGCTTAGGTGTGCAGGTTCGGCGTGAGACTGCAAGCTGCGAAGAGCTCATGGGTTATGCTACTGCAAACATGAATGTCCAGGGACACTAATGGATATGGTTCAGACCTGTAATTACACTAGTGCTTCACTCGATTTAGCTGCTCCTAAACCTTACATAAACCCTGAAGCCCTACAACCCTAAACCCGAACTGCTCTTACGAGTGGCAGTCTCTTGGTGCTCCCAATAGCCAGGATTTATTCTGGGCTCTGACTCGGGCTTAGGGTTTAGGGTTTGGAGGTTGGGGTTTAGACTGCAAGCTTGAAGCTGTGACCCAAGAGCTGCGCATCACGTTCACGAGCTTCTTGGGTTTGTGGATTGGGGCGTAGGGCTTACGGTTTGGGAGCTGCGGGCTTAAGTTCAAGGTACAGCATAGTCGGATCGTGCCGCTGTGCAGTCTCGCGGCATCTCTGCAGTGGAAAACCGAGAAGAGTGGTGTGCATTCCACCCCAAAGGGTGCAAATATAGCATACTTATGATAACGAGCTCCAAAATGAGAGAAGCATTACCAAATATTTAACACGATGACTATAGCTATTTATGTGGGTAGTTTTCCAAATTAGGGCACCCTTTGGGCTCCTTTATGGTAAGAGTGCCATACTTTCGAAGGACCCTAAAAGAGAGAACTACCCATATCGAGGAACCAACGAACAATGCCGAACCCTCTTTCAGCGGTACAAGCAGTGTAGATCGCGCAATAAATCTTGCGATGAAGCCCCAAACCCTACCATACAGACCTATCTTCTTGAGAATCTATATTACATATATATATATATATATTGGGGGGTCCTTATGACAGGTTTTCTAAACTCGGGGTTGTGGGGCCTACGCTGGCTGGTTTCGAGCGGATCAAGGGCCCGGTTGTCCACATCAAACGGCC